TTTGATACACACACATCCCTTTGTACTCTTGAAGGGGAAGGGCAACACAGGGCATAAGGAAACACCTGAAGAAACCAACCAGATAAAGGAGACAAGATATGGTGACATGAGTACATTTGTATTAATTTACACACATTTTAATTAGCTAGTAGCAAATTCTGAAAACCGAAGACAATACTGACAGTGCTGCTGAAAATGTGAATACATGTAATTCCTGTTGTAAAATGAAGTTGCATTGCAGAAGATAGTGGCTACTGGAATCCCTTGGAACCATTTTATTGTGGAAGGTAGAAATGTAATGTAAAAAGGAAAATATTATGGGTCAACAGTTTCAATATGAAACCAAAATCTGATGTCAAGTGCTCTGGCAATTAATTTATTACATTAAAATTTATTACATTATAATTATTACATTAAAATTAGTGATTTAATTTCCCATGTAAATTACTGTTTAAATACTAGAGGGGAGAAAAAAGTTCAGGTTTTCATACCTGTTAGAAACTTTTGCATGTAGCATCTGTGTGCGTGTGTGCAGATTTAAATACAAATATACGTGTGCATGCATGACATATTAATGCATGCATGTAAATACCCTAAATACACATAAAATTGAAGTGGAAAAAACTTCTTCCACAGTGCTGACATCATGCATGAGTGGAAATATGAGCTTCTTGCAACATACAAATTGCAGAAGAAAATCCACAGGAGATAAAAGAATTCACAGACAAGGAAACTAATATGCTGTTCATATCATTTGTGTGACACAAACCCCACATACCCATGGCTGAAACAAGTGTCAGTGTTTCAAACTGCATCCGCAAAACTGCTTGGCCAAAATCATAGAATATCCTGAGTTGGAAGGGACCCTTAAGGATCATCAAGTCCAACTCTTGAAAGCAGACATACAGCCTTCTATACAGTTCCTGCTGACCATGCTAAAATTTCAGTTGAATCTCCATATGTGGTAGTTGGTGCAGCCAGAGGAGCTGAGCCAGCAACTGCATTGTTCTGCCATAGGCTGAGATACTACAGCCATATTCCCAGTGTAGGAAAGGCCTGAGAGTCTTGGTAATTCTCTGATTAGACCTTTAGTGGCTTAAAAGATTCCATTGTTTCAGACAAAGAGCAGTAAGTGTCCTGCACGCTGTTTCCTTCCTGGTGTTCTTTAATTAACTTATTAAGCTTTTTCTAAAGGATAAAAAAACCTCTTGGCATGCATCTTAAAAATAATAAAATATTAACTTCTCCTCTGTTCCAAGGTAGTAAGCAGTTCTGATGTTCACAGAAGGCTGCAGCCGTCAAGACAGTTCAACTGCCAGAGGTGACTCCCACGTTCAGTACAAGCAAAGTTAGACATCTGAACATGTAGTATTTCCTTCCTCTTTGTAATTGAATGCTTCTGACCATACCTTCACAGAATAGGCTAAATTAGAAATCACTGTGAAATCAGATGTTGGCTTGTTTATATTTGTGACAAAGTTTTTCTTTATTTGAACTACAAAGACAAAATAAGATATTGGAAACAGAACTGCTCTCTAAATCTACACATCCATAAATTTGTCTGACTCACCATAAACAAGGCCTGTGTTTATCTGCTCTTGAAAAAGTTATGATGCAGCTGTTTGCAAAACTGTGGAGAGTCCAATTGGAAAGGTAAAGATCCTATTAGTCCAACTGATACAGCTGGGAAAAAAATAGAGAAACCTGGAGCCTGACATTGCTCTGCTTTTACACATCAGAAACTAATGCATTCCATTCCTCCACATGCTTGCATTCACATCAACAATCTGTGAGCTCATGCATTATAGCTTTACCATTAAACAACATCTAAACCGTAACAGAAATACCAAGCCATCAAATGTAGGCCTCTTGCTTAGAAGCATCACAGGGAGTTTTTCAGGGCCATTCTGTTACTTAAGAAGTTCTCTAAATGTCATAATTCAAGTGTGATAGCGTGCCTTCCCCACAGGAACAAGGGCTGAGGTAATAGTTGGGGAAAATAAAAATCCTCAGAAAACAGGAGAGAGGAAGATACAGAAAAGTGACAAACAGTTATTGTATGGCCAGTCATCTACATGTTGTTGTGAAAAAAACCTGTCTTGCTTGCTACATCCAGACTTGGCAATCCAGACTAACTGTTAGTATCCAAAGCAATGTACAGTGTACCACTCTTAATGGTTTCTTTATAAGGCTTATAAAATGGGAACCCAATATATTTGGACCTGGTAGCCACAACCTCCTAAGAAGGGTAGTTCTTAATAGCCAGTTTTTATGATACTACTGAGGTGATTTAACCGCCGCCTCTCTATGAGAGGGGGTGTCTTACCTTTCTTACAAAGACTCAACAACATTAAGCAGAAAACTATTTTATTTATTTTTGGTACAGTTAATTTTCTGCTTCTTTAGTTCCTGGAATTATCTTCCCCAGGGCCAGACTACCACTATTGCTAGCACATGGGAAGAAATGGAGTGGTTGGTAGAGGTGGAAAAAGGCCCTCTTCAGCAGGGCCTCTGAACTCAGTGGTCTTGTTAGAGTGCCTTGGCAGATTGTCAGCTTTGGTGGGCCCATGAGGACTTATTCATTCAGTGGCCTGCCCAAGCACAATAACTCTCTGTCCAGGGTAGCTATTTTCATTTTCCAAAGTGACAATCCTGTATCACTGAACCATACCCCTGCTGCCTATTTGTGTAATGGAACTATGTACTGGGGAAGGGCTTGGCCTCAAGTTCCACCATTCAACAGGAGAAATGAAACCCAAATGCTCAGGACTGAGGGAATAGGAACTGTAAGGTTTCTTGTAATGAAACGTTAAAGCTATGAACCGTGTTACCGCAAAGCACATATTGAGAATGCAGGCCAAGATGTCATATTTTTTAAAAACTTGACTAATGAGAACTGATTATGTCATGATAGCCAGTGTATTGCTCTTTTGGTTTTGTAGCTAGGTGCCTAAATAAGAAAGGACCTCGAAAACACAGCATTGGCAAAAGCAATCATATAGCTTCAAATTTTTCCCTGCTGCCAAAATGCACACTTGACTCACAGTTGCAATGAAACAGTTAATACCATTGGACTAGATCAGGGTTCTACAAAGTTTTGTTTCTCTGCACTCATCTGTGCTACATCACCATCTCATTTATACTAGAACACCCCAAATATGTTTCCTGTTGCACATTATAACCTAATTCCAGCAAGTTGTTAATAAAGGTGTTCAGTATTTTAACCCTGACTGACCAAATCCAATTTTATGCCCTATACAGAATGTTCCTCTGAAATGATTCAAGGAAAATTAATCTTATTTTGCCTAAGGCTGAGAAGCAACAAGAGAATTAGCATGCATGTCACTGTGCTCAAATCCCTACAAAAGTTGACGATTCCATTTGCAAGTATAATTCCATACTGTCCAGGGAGATGACAGACAGACAGGTGCAGGCTAGCCCAAGAGGGAAGCTGCTCTAAGGTAGCAAGTACAACAAAAACAGAACGAATCTTCCCTGAAAGATTTTAAGGACATGTTTTAATGAAACATTTGACATGAACCTGAGTGTATTAAAGAACAGAGGCAACAGAAGGCAAGCAAAGTATTAGCTTGAGCATCTTCTCCAAGTCTTCTCTTTGCCAAAGCAGCAATAGCCTTGTTGTCCCCTCTGGAAAACCGTGGCACTGAACATTCACATTACAAAGCAATGAAAGAAGTGCTCTTACTAAGTCAGGGAAAACACTGATGGTACTGGAATTCACTAGAATGGAACAGCTTTTTTAGCTTGCTAAATGCAGGAGGGAGGCCTGACAGAGTCCATTTTGGCAGCAAATCTGGATGTTACGTTCAGTGTATTCTGAACAAATACTTGGCACACAAGGACTCAGTTGAATGTATTCAAGAAGCAACAGGCTGTGATATGTGTATTTAACTTAGTAGATTGGCAATAGCAGCTTTAGTCAAAGAAAGGACCACCTAGTCTCTCTGGAGCACATGCCCTGTTTGGAGAGTTTACCTGCTCTAGTTTGTCAAACAGTTTATATACAATTGATATGTTTTAGTTTCCTGTAACTTTCCCATTAATAAAAGCAGGACTGATTTTCCAGTGAAATATCTACATCACTTAAAAATTAACTAACTTGGTAAACCTCATTAAAATTACCACTGCAAATCATGGTACATTTCCACTGAGTCATTTATCTGGTACTGTTTTCATCCCTGAAAGTACCACAGCTGTGGTTACTGTGGTTAAAATGTCTCTCTCTGCTGTCCTTAGTACATAAACTTCAAGGTTCTGAATACCAAGTATAAAGAATGTGTTACACACAGACTGCTTGCAGTGAAACATATCTCCAAGGAGGAGACAGTTAAAGAGCACTTCACGTTTCTTCAGTGATTTGTTTTGTTTGGCTAACCATAGTTAATGGAATAAATTGTACATAAGAGTACGATTAGCTCCAGGCCTATAGGTTACACTAAAGTTGAATACTGAGTTCAAAAAGTTGAATACTGACAGCTACTGGCACAAGCCTGTAGGAGCTTATACCCATATGACATACAAACTGTACAACAGAATAACACTGGGGGCTGATACACAAACCTTTTTTTAACATGGAAATATATGGAATGAAGACTACTTTATTCATGGAGATAATCACCTACAGCAATACATTTTCCCCAAGTCTGCTCTTTAATGCTTGCCTTACGCATGTGGTTGTGATAATATTTATTTTATCACTATTCTACTCCTTAAATAAAGGAACAAGAAGGCTTTGGGTTGTGATTTTGTTATTGTAGTGTTTGTTTGTTTTTCCCAAAACTTATATCCAACAAATCTGCAGCAAAAGTAAGTTAAAGGGTAAAGTTAAGCTATTAAAACAGTGAATAAAACAAGTATTTCTTATTTAATGTTATCCTTTTCTAAAAATAAACTTGTGGAATTATTTTTTAATGTGAAAAAAAGTATTTAGTTCATTTAGTTAGAAATTAGAAACAACTCCAGAACCCAGGGATGCTTACCTGCCAGATCCTGAACTTGAGTTACTGCCAAACCACTTCACGGGGAAGTAGCACCACCAGGGTTTTCCTGTTCTGAGATGTCACCACCAACGTAACTAGCTCATAGAGTCTCCAAAGCTCATTCACAGAGATGATAGAAAACACGAAGAAAAAGCAGCCTACTCCAGAACACTGAGTCCATTTCACCAGGACAGTAGAACAGCACCCTAAACAACCTGAACCTCAACCTCCTCTGCAGTGGCAATTCTTCCCATATCTCATATCATATCATACTTCCTTTAGGAAGCATACCATGCTTCCTTTATAGCAAAGGTCAAATGATCCCCACCTGGCAGATTTCACTTAACAAGGGTGGAGCCAAGAGACCTTGTGGAATAGGCTCATCAACCTGGCTTCAGTGTTTTAGGTTCAATTGCTCCTTATCGCTAATAGAAATCACCTGACAAGGGGCTCAGTGGTTAGAGTTGCCCTAATGAATTAATTACAAAAGGCACTTAAGGGTCATATTTCTGCTAGTCATTCTGTGAGGAAAATTAGTACAGAGGCTGTTAAAATAAGATTAACAAACCTAAATAAAAGAAAGACATAAAAGAAAAAAGAAAATGAACTAAAAGGCAAAATTGCCGTCATAGATTTTCATCTGTCTAGTCACGACAGATCAAGAATATAGCCATCAGAACGACTCTTCTTGACATTATTGTTATTTAAATTTGCTTCTCTGAGATCTCTTCTTTATGCAGAGCTTCTCAAAATCTTGTGCCATGACCTCTAACTACAGTATTTACTTTGGCTGCATGTAAACTATCACGTATAAGTGCCAGGATCCGGATCCTCACTCCCTATTCAGGTCAAGGACCGGGCTGAAAGGTTTGGCTTTAATTTGGTTACATGACTACGTTGCTGTTGCTGTGGGTTTCCCCGGCCAGCAGCTAAGCACCACACAGCCGTTCGCTCCCTCTCCCCTCTCCCTCTCTGGAATGGATGAGAGAAACAGGAAAACGAAGCTTGTGGGTCGAGACAGACAGTTTATTAAGACAGGAAAAAAATAATAATAACAGTGAGAATAGTACTGCTACTACTAATGTGTAGGGAATACGTGATGCACAATGCAATTGCTCACCACCCGCTGACCCATGCCCAGCCTATCCCCGAGCAGATGGCCCCCCCCCTGTCCTGGCTAGCCACCCCTACCTATTGTTTAGCATGACATCAGAGGGTATGGAATAACCCTTTGGCCAGTTTGGGTCAGCTGTCCTGGGTCTGTCCCCTCCCAGCTCCTGCTGCACCCCCAGCGTGCCCACTGGCAGGACAGAGCGAGAAGCTGGAAAAGTCCTTGGCTTGGTGTAAGCACTGCTCTGCAACAATTCAAACATCAGCGTGGTATCAACACTCTTTTCATCCTAATCCACAACATAGCACCCTACCAGCTCCTAGGAGGAAAATTAACTCTATCTAAGCAAAAGGCATAAAACAGTCCCTGAGGCACAGGCTACTTTTCAGCCTGCTACAGGTATGATATCATTTCGGACAACTATGGTCTACATTAAGTGAAGTGTTCCAGCATGCTTGCAATCTGCCAAAGGCCAGAAAATGGGACCTTCATTTTAAGAGCGTATGGAAAAGAAAACAAAGACAACAACAACAGGGAAGGAACTTTTCCTTCACCTAATTTTTTTATGCTGCAACTCCTTCAGGTGACCACAGAGAATTTTGCATCTCCTCCCCCCCCTCAACACAACCCCAAAAAAAGGTCATTGTGGCATAGAGGTATAATTCCAGTTCACACCAGAAAACTGTACTGCAGTGAGAAGAATGTCAAGACCCACAAAGTGCCAAAAAAACCAAAAAAATCACACAGACACACACCAAAAAAAAAGTAACGTATTTTCAAATTAGTTTTACGCGTTGGCATTATTTACTCGACTGATCTTGCATTCAGGGCTTGATCTATGTGGAGGGGAACATGTAATGCCATGCAAGGTTGTTTGGTTGTATGACTGACAACGGGACTTTAGAAGTTTGAACTGTTTGTATAGAAGCAAAATACAAAAGAGTATGCTATGCCTAAGGGAAACGTAGAAACTACCCATATAGTTTTATCAAGTTTTTATAAACTATATAGCTTTATAAAGTTTTCCCTTAAAAGGTGTAAGCAGCTGTTAAGGTGTAGGAAAAGGTGTAATCAGCTGTTTGCGTACAATCCTTACGTATACGTGAACATTTTCCTCTCCGGTTTCCAACTTGGAGCGCAACACTTTTCATCACACTCTTAGATCAGGACTCTGATTCTAACCATGGTTCCTAGTGCAGAGAACTTTTCCAGAGGAGAGAGAAGCAAAGCAGTCCTGACTGCTTTGAATGAGATGGAGATAGCAAACAAACGTAGAAGAAGAAAATAAACCTGTGGAAACGTTTTCAGATAATTGTCAGAGTCCAAAAGCATTAAATTGGTTCAGTCCCTGAAAGTTAAGTAGCGTAAACCCAGGTTGCATCACTGAACTTGAAGCAGTAGGATAGACTTGCCCCATTGCAGAGCCTCAGTCACGGATTGCATTGCCATTGCCTCTAACTCTATACAAGAATGAAACAGAAAAGCACACCTTTCTACTTTGTCAGCTACTGGCAGACCTAGAGAGAGGGGAAAAAAAAAGTTATTTAAACCGTAAAGTTGTTTTAAGGCATTTCACCAAATCTGTGATATTTGGTAGTAAGCAGACAACAAATGAAAGGGAAGAGGAAACAGTAGAAGGCACTTGCATGGCCTTAATTTATGTGGCAATTGACAACAAGGATTTGCAAGGATTTCAAAGTGCCTTCCACCACAGTCCCATCCTTGGGACTCTGGGGACCAGATATTCTCGCCCTCTCCCTGCCACGCATAACTCTCCTACCTCTCAAGACATCTGTGCATGACGCTCCTTAGGATTTCTTTAACCTTTGACAAAACCTCAAGCGCATTCTAGAGACATACCAAGAAGAACGTACTTGTGTGAACATCCCAAGGATAGACGAAGCTTTGGAAGGCTACCGTAACTCGCCTGGAGGAGAAGAAAGGGAGAATGAACAAGAGGGAAAACACGTCTTCCCCTGACCCTGACCCTCCCTTGGAAACTATGGACAAGGACGCCTTTCATACTTTTTCTTCAGGGAGCCTGTCTTCTGGGGGGACCAGGACTGGGGACTTTTCTGAGGGTGACAGATAGGAGGGGTCTCCCCACCCTTGCTGTTGCTCGGCAGCCCTCTCCTATGTCCTGACAAGGGGTAGAGGCTGCCCCTGTTGTACACATGCAGAACAGAAGGCCACACTGTCCGCAAGAGACAAGGGGCTGGACACTTGTCTCGGCTCGGAGCAGAAAGAGACGTCTGCCCCCGACACCCACGCTGCCACCTACCCCCACGGTGTCCCTGGGAAATAGATTTGAGGCTCTCAGAGAGGTTGTGGAAGAGGCTGAGGGCCTGGAAAGTAGTCTGAACCCGGAAAGCAACCCCGAGGAGAGAGTCAAGATTGGGGGAAGTGCAAAACATAAGGATCAGGCCTAGAAGCAGCACCACATTGTATCTTTTGCCACAAAAAAAGAGCGGAGATAGCAATCAAATGTAAAAGAAGAAAATAGACCTGTAGGAGTGTTTCCAGATAATTGTCATTGTCCAAAAGCGTTAAATTGGTTCAATCCTTGAAAGTTAATTAATGGAAACTCCAGTTGCATCACTGAATGTGAAGTAGTAAGATGAATTTGCACCATTGCAGAGCCTCAGTCATATTTTAAATCGGCACTGCCTCCTTCACAAGATGAAAGAGAAAGGCACAACTTTCTACCTTGTCAGCTACTGGAAGACCTAGAGAAAGAAAAAATGTAGAGTTGTTAAAATTAAAAAGTTATATTTATTTTGTTTGTTTGTTTTTTTGACATTTCACTGAACATGTAATATTGGAGTAGTAATCAGACAACAACAGAAAGGGAAGGTGAAACAGTAGAAGGTACTTGCATGGCCATAGTTTATATGGCAGTTGACATCAACTACAATCTGCAATGATTTCTATTTGCCTTTCACCATTTGTCCGCGGGACCGGGATGCACCTCAATCCCAATCTGTTTCTACTTACCACAAGGCAAATTCTGCATTCACATTAAGGTACCTTTTTCACACAGCCCGTTTTTCAATCTTCCAAATACTTCAGAACATTCTTCAAAGTCAGGCTTACCTGTGTGCACTTGGGTTTTGGAGGCCTTTTTTTTTCCCCCCCAGTACTTGGAATGGAGCTTAGAATCCACGTAAGTAATTTCACGGAAAACAGACAAGGTGAAGGAAGTACTCAAACTCCTCAACAGTAACAACCACAGAACCCAGGAACACTTACCTGTAGTCTTCTGAACTCGAGTCACTTCCAAAGCGCTTCGCTGTGAAATAGTGCCACCAGGGTTTTACTGAAGAAGGCACCACCAATGTGACTAGCTCATAGAGTCTATGAAACTATTTCACAGAGACAGTAGAAAACATGAAGAATCACAGAACTGTAAGGGGTTGGAAGGGACCTCGAAAGATCAAGTCCAACCCCCCTGCCAAAGCAGGTTCCTCAGAGAAGGCTGCTCAGGTAGGCATCCAGACAGGCCTTGAATATCTCCAGAGAAGGAGACTCCACAACCTCCCTAGGCAGCCTGTTCTAATGCTCCGTCACCCTCACCGTGAAGTTCTTTCGCATATCAGTATTGAACTTCCTGTGCTTTAACTTTCAGCCTTTGCCCCTTGTCCTATCCCCACAAACCACTGAGAAGAGGTTGGCTACATCCTTCTGTCCCCCACCCCTCGGATATTTATATACATTGAGGAGATCCCCTCTCAGTCTTTTCTTCTCCAGACTGAACAGACCCAGGTCTCTTCATAGGGAAGATACTCCAGGGCCCATATCATCTTTGTGGCCCTCCGCTGGACTCTTTCCAGGAGATCCCTGTCTTTCTTGTACCAGGGAGCCCAGAACTGGACACAGTACTCCAGGTGAGGCCTGACCAGGGCAGAGTAGAGGGGGAGGATCACCTCCCTTGACCTGCTGGCCACACTCCATTTAATTTATGCCAGGATCCCATTAGCCCTCTTGGCCACAAGGGCACAGTGCTGGCTCATGGCCAACCTGTCGTCCACCAGGACCCCCAGGTCCTTCTCCTCAGAAATCCTCTCCAGCAGGTCATCCCCCAGCCTGTACTGATACTTCAGGTTGTTCCTTCCCAGGTGCAGAAAAAGGAGCCTGCTGGGGAACACTGAGTACATTCCACCAGGACAGTAGAAAAACATCCTAGATAACTGAGGCCTCAAACTCCCCTGGGGAAGCAAGTCTACCCATCGCTCCTCATGCTTCCTATATAGCAAAGGTCAAATGATCCCCACCTGGCAGATTTCACTTCACATGTGTGGAGCCAAGAGACCTTGTGGAATAGGCTCATCAACCTGGCTTCAGTGTTCTAACGTCAATTGCTGCTTATCCCTAAGAGAAATCACCCGAGAAGGGTCTCAGTGGTTAGAGTTGCCCTAATGAATTAATTACAAAAGGCACTTAAGGGTCCTATTTCTGCTAGTCATTCTGTGAGGAAAATTAGTATAGAGCCTGTTAAAATAAGATAAATAAACATAAATAAATTAAAGAAGGAAATGACCTAAAAGGCAAAATTGCCGTCGTAGATTTTCATCTGTCTAGTCACGACAGACAAAGAATGACTTTTCTTGACATTAATGTTATTTAAATTTGCATTTCTAGGGGCCTGGGAATGGGGCCCAGGAATGGTGTTTTCATTTGGACTACTCCTTTTAGAACTATGTATTGATCCCAAGTGACTGGGGCCTGGAATCACTGAGTTAGCTGGACTACAAGAATTCAGCATCATAAATGAATACTGTCTGTTGTTCCACTCCTCCCAACAAACCATGGAAATATTGGCATAAAATCAGATACTTTTAAAGAAAACTCACCATTGGGATCCTTCACATTTGATCGCTACTGTGTGGTTGTTTTTTTTTTCAGTTTTTCTGGGCACTTATTTCTTCAAGTTCTGATGGTCCTGAGAAAGATCTATATGGCTACTTGCTTTTAAATAAAATAAAAAATAAAAACAAAAACAAACAAACAAAAAAAACAACAACACACCTCATCTCACTAGGTGACTCTGTCATCTGACTTTAAGAAACATAACTACTATTGAAAAATATGTGATAAAATCATGGGCTAGCAATAACTAATTGAAAACAGACCTGAACTATGCTTTCCTCAGAATTCTAATGAATTCCCTCAGTACTTGCAATAGGAATCTCAGTTCTAGATCAAGTTGCCATTCTTACATATCCTCACAGATTTAACATGCAACCCTCATTTGGCTGCTTCTAATAAACCTCTTACTTTTCAGGACTATTATAAACCTAGTGACCTGCCCTACTGCTAAATGCTTAGCATAGTTTATTCTGTTCCTGCATGATGTAAGTTGTTTAGTCATTTGTTCTTTATTTAGGAGGTTGATTACTACAAGTGGATCCATACAACAGCCAGTAAGATGAACCAAAAGCAACACCATGAAAAATGGGTATTATTTGCAGATTTTTTAAGGACAGTACAAAAGAACACTTGCATACAAGCAATGGGCATCATCTTATCACTTAAAATGCAATATATTAAATACAAGATCAGAACACAAAACCTACAAAACATTCAGCACAATGCTTCTTCCCAGCAATTCACTGGGCCCCAGTGCTATTGACTTGCCATTTCATGAAACTGAGTTGTTTAGCACTCGCAGTAGGTTAAGTGAGAACAGAAAGTGCAAAAGTGGTCCACTAACAAAAAGCCCATTCACTCTATTGAGCAGAAGTTCAGCTCCTTAATTTGAAATAGCTCAAATACAGAATTCTACCAAAAAGCAAAACCTGACCTGACTCCCTTAAACAGCTGATGTATTACTGCAAATTGTCATGTAAAAATCCTATATAACCCGAGCCAATGTCCAAACTCACTCATGGTGCAATTCCTTTGACTTCAGTGGAGTTGTGCTGGCAACCACCTCAGCTGTACTTGGACCGGTGCCATTATTTATGCAAGGCTGTTCTGTGTGTCTTCTCTTGATAAATGCCAGCCCTGTAGAGCTCTCAAAAATAAAGAAAAAACATTCTTCAGAAATCACAACATGACGAGAAATGCAGATACACAAACTGCAACAGAGCAGATAAACAAGAATTTACAGCTGTGCTGTATCCAAGCACTTTGCCAAAGTCTTTTCTTGTATTTTAAAGAAAGATTTTAAAGTCATAAATAGCATAAGCTTCTTTCTAGTAAATGAACTACAATGTGAATCTTTCATCTCTGCTTTGAACCATAATTTTTCAATTAAAAATAGAAGAGGGGGGAAACAGATACTGACTGTCTTCAGAAGTAGAGCCCCTAGCTCAGAGCTTAACACACTTCAAGTCCTTCAGGTGTAGGACTTGAAAATATACTGTTAAAACTTTAAATTTTGAAATATTTACCGCTGCTGTGTTAGGTATGGAGTAAAGCAAAGCTTAGTCTCAGAAAGATGTGGTTATCAGTTTATGTTCAGGTAAGATGCCCATCAATTACAGTAACTAAGGGCTTTAGAAAGCCTTTAAATATAAACATGAAGGCTCTGACATACTATTGTATTGAATTGGTGTGAATGATATCCATAAACTTGTAAGGCAGTAGAAGGTAGTAAACAGCACTTAAAAAAACATGCTCTAGCACCAGACTCTCAAAAGCTGACCAACACGTCAGCAGACAGTGTAGCTGATCTGTACATGCAGATTCATCCAGCAGCTCTATGAACTCCACATTTCTCAATTTCCATTTGCTGGAGCATTTTTCAAAACAATTCAGTCTGATGTATGTGTATGCATGTGTTTATATTGCTATTATTATATTATTATTTTACTATATATACAAATATGCATATATATCTTACATATATGTTTATAGATAATATCCGTTTAGTTCCCCCTCCCCTTTTTTTAACAAAAAATCATTTTATAAAAATTAGATGTCAGCTGGGATCAATGAAGACATACATGTTGTTTTTTGCCTGCTTAAAGACAAATGTTAGCCTTGTACACTAAAATGTGCAATGAAGCTCTCATGCCTTCCTGACACGGCTGTCTGCTCATTGCGATAACTGAAAATATACAAGGGATGTTTTTTGGTTTTATTATTTTAAAAAAGTGCCTGAAGATAATGTTAAGTAGCTGTATATGCACTATTGCTTAATAACTCCTAAAATAGCTGGGTGAAGTATATTGGTAGTCTGCTAAGACAATGTTGTTACAGTAAATTAGCACCAACCATTCTTTGAGGATATCTGAACTTAAATTTCAAAGGGATGAGAAAGAATTAAAGTAAATAATTGCTAAAATTCAGTGCCACTAAATAACATCATTGCCTCAGCAGACTGTTTAACGGCTGCCTCCATTTATCCATTTGCAAATATGAAAAAAATGTCTCCTTATCACAATGAACAATCACCTCAAAAAAAAATAAAAAATAGTAGAATAATTTGTTGGAAGGGACCTTTGGAGCTTACCTAGACTAACCAACCCTGCTCGGGGCAGGAGCAACTTTGAAGATCTCAGGTCTAAATTCAGAATTAAATCAGGCTGCTCAGAGCCTTACCCAGTCTAGATTCAAGTATCTCCAGTGATGGAGATTCTTGAGACTCTCAGGACAACTTGCTCCATTTCTTTGTGAACAGTTCTTTTCCCAGATACCTACTGGGAATCTCCTGCATTGTAACTTCTGCCTATTTCCTCTCATCACTGTGAACCTCCAAGAAGAGCCTGGCTCCATCTCTGTCCCCCCCCTCCTATCAGGCAGCACTGATGACTCCCGCCCCTCATCCTGCCCTTCTCCAGGTTGAACAGGCCCAGCTCTTGCAGGGCTCACTATTGGCCCTCTGGGTCAGGCAGAACTGGGAGCAGGGCTTCTCAACAAGGAAAAATGAGGCAAGAGAAGAGGGTGCTCACAAGGCGGGCAGGGTGCGGCCCTGTGGTCTCTGAACAGGATCAGTCTGTTGACAGTGACAGGGTGCTTTAATAGCCTGGTAAACATTGGACAAGAAAATGTAATGAGTCAGGTCGAGCATCAGTTTGGGAAGTGCAGCAACCATTTTAGGCCAGCAGGACCAGGGACTGGGCACATACATAGGCACAGTCACTTCCTTGGCACAACGTGGGTGAATTCCTCAGCTGAAATGGTGACCTGGGCCAAGCACAGAGGGTATTATGGGTATTAAGCCCCCAGTGGAGCTTGTTGAGTAAATTAGGGCCTATGGCCATTCCCAGGGTCCACACAGCTGGAGGGACACCATAGTGATGAGCCTTCAGTTTGATTTCGTACTGCTGGTTAAAATCTGGTGGTACAGCTAGCTGTATCTAAACCAATCCAAGCTATATTTTGAAGTGCTTGAAGCCTCAAAATAACTGCAGAAATTGTTAAGCAGTACTTATGTAATAAAGAATGATAACATATGGCTTTTTTTTTTTTTTTATTCTTCCCGAAAGATTTACTTAGCTAAATCATCAAAATTTGAATTTTGTCTGACAGAGAGATCCTGTAAAATGACAGAGATCCTGTAGATGTCAGACACCTTTTAGCAAGAATATATTTATTATCACAATGTACTTACTTTGCTACCAGATGGAAGATTTAGGCAGGGAATAACAAACTTAATTTCATCAGCTGATGTGACACTAAGTTGCTTCTTCCTATTTAAAGGAATAAAGGAGAAGATGGTATATTTAGCTAAAGAGCAAATGAGCATTTGTGATTTTATGCAGTTAAAGTACAAGTCCCTGTATCCTTTTCTTCCATTTCCATAATGCCATCTTTCATGATATCCTCCATCTAAAACCTGGTTATGTATCACTCCCTTAATACAAGCCTGATATCAATACAATATGATCATCTCACTTTCTTGATATTTTGTAGAATGTGAAAGGGAATAGAAAAGTACCCCAATGGTGCTACTTCAAAGTCAGTATTTTAATATTTTATTTTATTTTGTTTTATTTTATTTATTTTTGATGCTCTTCTCAAAATCTCTAGGTAGCCAAAATGGTGACAAATTACAGATGTGGTCAGCAGTAACGTAATGTGACCCAGAGCTAGTTAAGAACATCACAAGAAGATGACAGACCAAAAATCCACTGCCCATCCCACAAAGCTACTGAAAGCAGCTCTTCAAAAATAAGTATTATCTTAGGAATTGGGCTTTAGGAACTGTGAGCTTACAGCAGACAGCCTGAGCTAAGAAGCTTTGCTTATTCTCCCAGCATCTAGTTCTCCTGTCTGGCACCTGCATCGCACCGTACTCTCTTCCTTTAGCTTCCTTCCAATTGCTTCAGCTCTAGCAATATGCAGCTATTATAAAAACAGATTTGTTTATTTTACCTCCTTTCTACTAAGCTCCTGGCGTGCTGCCTTGCTGTGAATATTTCAGACAGGTTTGCTGTTCCCATTATGTCAAATATGTGCACATTATTCTTCTCTGTCTTCTGGCAGACAAGAGTGCACATCTGCCTTAAACATTTTATTTTTTTTTTTTTCCAGTGGCAATCAAGGCATTCATATGTGAATGGTGTCAGATACACCACCCTAGCAAGTGAGCTGCTCTTCTGCCTGCTCAGTGCTATCCATCTATGGTAGCATTCTACTCTATAATCACACAAGCTTTTCTACTGTATGTATTTCTAAGCAGACTACCAAAATAGTGTGTATGTGTTTTATTATTTTTGTTTTGTTTTGTTTTGTTTTTTAACCTTTCCAGCAATTTTCAAAGTAGCAGTTTAATACATCTTTCAGAATTTGCCCAAATATGGCTTCTATTTTTGATCACTATATTGATGGTGTTTAGTTTAGAAACATGGTACGGATATGAGTCTTCCAGGCCAGTAAATCTGGTCCCCTGCTACTGTAAACAAGGATGTCATACAATTCTGCTCATCAAAGTATCAAATTTCATTCTGCATAGATTTTAATCTTTTTTAATCCCTCATTACCCCTGAAAGACATATGTGAACCTTGTATCATCATCTCAGAGCCACTGAAAAATTCATGCTGCTTGCACATAGTCTTTTCACTCAGTTCTCTGGTTTCATTCCTCTCTCGTTTCCCTTCCTTTACTTCTAAGTGATATACTAGAGGATTTTCAGCCTCTAAGAGACTCCTTCCAAATCACATCTCCTCTTCCATTTTACAATTCACCCTCTATGATTGCAGAAGGCCATCCCAAATGCAGTCTTCTCCACAGAAATGTAGAATGGTATTAATACCAGCCTAATTCTTTGGAAGTAATTTGCCTGATACATGTGACTTTTCCATGGTCACAGCTTAGTGTAACTGGTTTTTGTGTGTGCTATAGCTACAGTCAGGCTACAAAACCCAGTTCTAATGAGACAACAAAGTCTATACCTGTTCAGTATCCAAAGCTGAGGAGCTACTGTAGGCAGCTGCTGCTGAATAGATTTTATTAGCACCTGGGGTGACTGAGAAATATGCATTGATACAGTAAAAAATAATTTGTAACACAATATTCTTAAATTCCATGGCAGCAGGTGAAGAGTTAAGAAATGTTAGATTATGAAGTTCAACAGCAATACGAGTTCAAAAACATAATACAAAAAGCACCAAAACAAAATTAAAAAAAAAAAAAAAACAACAAAAAACAAACACAGAATACTGTTAACTTTAGACAGATGTCTGTCAAGTGGGCTGTGTAAAGCAAATTGGTTTCAGCCCAACTCTCACCTGAAAAACCATCTTCATACTATAAATTTGCACAGAACGGTGATTTCAGAAGAGACAAAGATTGAATAGATGCTTTGTGCCACATCTTTCATGCCTATAGGCAACACTTCTTGGACAAGGTTGATGTATTTTGTTAAGAAGTAAAGACAAGGGTGTTTATCTTCCCTCCTTGTATCCAGCTGTTTTCTGGACAGGAGCAAACAGAGATGAAACACTTTCCAGACAGAAGTTAGTCAGGTGAACTGATTTGCTTCAAGTTCTTTTTATATGCTTATATCTCAGACTAGGTTACAGAAAGATATACACATTTTTCAAAATTAAGGCTGCTATTGAAGTGTCATGTGAAAATTTTACCATTTACATGCAAGATAGCCTGGCATACAGGGACACTGGGGGAGAAGACAGAAGGGTTTAAGTATATAAACACAAAATAAAATTGTAAAAAGCTCATTTACCTTTTACAGAGGCTAAACCTCAAGTATTGGCTACCCATTTTAAAAAAAAATTATTTTATTTATTTATTTTTATTCTTGAAACACTATTTCATATATATTACTTATTTAGATGTATACTCATATCCGAGTCTGAGACTCAGATATGCGCATCTTTGTCTCACAAGGTGTTTTTAAATAAGAATTAAATTAATATTTCATTGTCAGAATATCTGATTTAGTTGTTTTCTAACATTCTGTGTTTTATACCTCTCCATGCACAGAATTAAAATGCATAAGAAGGGTTGAAAGAAATTCAAAGGTTATTCAGGCCCTTACAAACATCACTCACAAGAGTTCCATTTACATTCATAAGGAGACTGTTACTTTTCCAGTTTTCATCCTGTTTTCCCAATAATATTCCTCACCCAGTAGAAAATATTATGAAAGAGGTACAAAAACATTTTACTGTTTAAATGTACCCTTTTGCTGCATATTTTGTTTATTTTCCTTTTATTCTTTCTTTACTTTCAAAAGAAGATCACAAATATTGCATAAACCTTTGGTTTAACTTCTTAATAATTGATACGAAACATTCAGGATGCTAGCATGGGAAACAAGAAGATAATGGGTAGTTAGCAACAGTGGTGCAAGGTTAGGACCAGAAAGCATCTGAAAAGTAGGCAAGGTGCATAGAATCTCAACTAAGAGTGAAAAACCTGAAGCAGAAATACCGTCGTCATGTTGAAATAGATTAAAAAAAAAAAAAAAAAAAAAAAGATACAATAAATCTGCAGCATTATAAGAGCTGTACAAGAAAGATGAGTCCGCAGAAAGGTGAGTCTACAACTATGCTGAAATGCATAAAACAGAGCATGTAGTGTGTCTACCTGAAAAAGAAATGCCTGTTAACAATAGTGGGACTTACATGAAAAAGAAAATAAAATAAGATTATATCTGGTAACTGAATTTAGGGGAAAAAAAAAAAAAAAGTGACCTAAGGCCAAAACAAACAAACAAACAAACAAACAAAACAACAGGAATTAATATGTTGACAAGGCTGCTACTCAAATTTGATTGTCTCATCCCTGGTCTGTAAAAGAAATCCAGCATTAACAATAAAAGTTACTTGCACAATGAATGGCAAAATTATATGCAAACTTCAAGATGAACTTTTTGAATTACAAGGATTGTAAGGAGCTGCAGCAAGTTGATGTGCCAAGCCTATTAGTATTCATCAATCCCTGCATGAGCAACTTCCCTTTTGTACTGTGATTTCAAACTTTTACAGCTCCTCGAATGATTTTATTCACTGTTCCTATTACTTTTTTTTTTTTTTCTTTTTTTTTTAAATGGATAAAATAAATCGCAAAATAAAGGACACAATCTAAACAAAAGTGAGCTTCCAGTCTCCTCACTAAGAATTGCATGGCATTATTTCTAAAGCCTCTTTGGAGAGTTAGAAAACAAAAATTGTCAACATACAAGAACATGTTTATGTCTTCTTCAGATTACAGAATATATGGTCTAGAGAAGAGTACGTTGGCCGGTCTGAATAAAGCATCCTACAATCTCAGGAAAAGAAATTACATGTGTAACAAATGCCAGCTATTAATACATGAAGAATAATTTAACTCCCTTGACACAAAATTAAAAAAAAATATATATAAATAAATCTATTTGCAACTTTCTTTTATAATGAATTGTTATTAATTTATATGCTTCTACAATTCTTTAGTTTGTTTTTCGTTATAAATCGCTGTTGACAAGAATACAAGAAAACAGAGTTGCAATGCAATCTTTTCAGATGCTGTTGTATTACTGAATGGAGCAACAAATCACAGATTATGAGATACCAGAATGTTCCTGTTCCAGCTATATAGAAGCTTTATCAAGGATTTTGGAAAACATGGGTTTAAACCTTAAAATATTTACTGGCAAAAAGAGGGACAAAAGGCAATACACATTCCTTTTACTGTGACATCCAGTTTGGGCTGAACAATGACCATGTCAAATATCTGCTATTTTACTAACTGTATTTTCAGTTTTCTGAGTGTACTGAATGTTGCTAAGCATTGGTCTTGAAGACATTTCTGTACTCTGAAAAAGACTTATTGTGCCTGAGGAGACTTTGGAGGTAGGCTGTATCTAAACACAGGCCATTCAGTAGGTTTGGGCAGGGCCAATTTTGGTTTGGATTTGATTTTGCTCTTTCCCACATTGATGATGACCTAGCGCTTGTTATAAATCAAATCTGTGGGATTAAGCTACCTGCACACAGTTAGTAAAAAGATGCATGGGCTGTAGATTCTTTATTATCTTTGGATAACCTGAGAACATTAAGGACTGGCAGAAATATCTATTTCACTACTTAGGCATATTTAATTCAGTTTAAGTGGTATACCTTTGTCTTTAATTCCTGCTGCAATTCATTACTTCCAATCATGGAGTGTAATAACCTATTGTGCCAATTATACTTATTTCATTTCTCTGCAATTCATCATTTTTATTTGATTTCAGGTGTAAAATTAAAAGTACCAACCAACAAAATTACTTAGGACTATAATGACCTAGTACAATGAGGCCATTCATCATCAGTCCCAAGTTTTATTCTGCATAGTTTCTACAAATAGTTTCAATTAATAGCTTAACACAAGTACAGCTGTAAAACATACATTAAACACAGTGCCTGATCCTGAGGACTGCTGAGGTTGAATTAATAACAGTTGGAAGTCCTGTATGCCACTCTGAGTCTTGATCAGAAGCAGCTCTGATTCAGTCCAGTCAGACTCATTTAGGAAAGTCTCGATATCTACAGTCTTTATGCATAGAAGCGTCTCACACAATTCAGAAGGTGTACATTGAATAACAGTGACTTCCAACATAATGTGGCTCAGTTTGGCTAGAAATGTCCGCTAGGGCATGCAGGGAGATGAGAAGAAACACTGAAGAGGGGGAAAATGTTGACACTAATCATTAGATATTCTTTCGTAGTAGATTTCTACCCTTGCATAGCAATTTTTAATTTACATTTCTTTATAATCAGGGAGGAGAGAGATATCCATAAGCAAGACAATAACCTTAAATGTAGAATTATCTTCAGGGTAGAACAAAAAACCATTGTCCTGATATTTTTGTAATCAACTCATGTTTCTACTTTGTTATTTTTGGCAGCAATCTGGTTTCTTAAATTACTCCTGTTACCAGTTCCCCACAGAACGAGATTCCTCATTCGCAGCACAGATGAAGTATTTATTATCCTTTACTGACAATATACACATAATTAATATATAGAAGCCCCAAATAAGAGATATCAAAGACAAGCTGTGACAGGCAACAATGTACATGCATTACATTTCCCAATATCCAAACTGTGTGTTAAATATTTGAGCATTACACTGCTGAAAGGAAGAATCTGATCTGTGCTAATTGTGCAACTTCTCTTGTGAGATGCCATTCCTAGATGTAGGCCAGCTAAATTATATCTATATTCACTCACTGAAGCAGCCAAACGCACCTACCGCACATCATAAAATAGGTGTTATTTTATAAATAAAATCTCTTTTGCAATAGCATTCTCTTCTAATAAATGTCTCAAAGCATTACATAAGAAACTATATCAAGTGCTTCTCTTTATGCCTCTCTGTAGATAAATTACTTAACATTACACTAAGGCATTAGCAAAAAACACATTTTAATTGCAATTGCTAACTAAAAAATACACCAGCTTTTTCTTAGATATTTAACACTTTCTGCAGAAACACTTCAGTTCGTGTCAAATGCCACATAGCATCAAGAAGTCCACCAACAAGCACATCAGATGCACAAAAAATTTCTGTACTGACATGTAGCAGCTAGCTTAGTAAACCATGAATTAAGATTTTGCAACTTTACTAACATTTTCCTCATGTACTGAAAGACAATAGACAGAACAAGGCATACTGACCTGTCACCTTTTATTATGATGGCTATAAATTTGGACTGTGGTTGATTTAACATATAATATTCCATTTTTGTATAGGCTGTTCTGTCTCTTTTTAGTGACGTGAAAGAATACAGTCTTAGTGAAAGTACTTTGCTGCATAAAGATCAGGTTTTATATGCACATGTAACTGGTACACTTGGCCAGGATTATTTATTTAGTTAGTTTTCTTCAGACAAAAAGAGAAAGAAAAATGAAAAACAAAAACAAAAAACAATAACACTTTTCTCAAACTTTTAGTCATGACCTATCAGCTTCAGTCAAACTGTTATGATATCAGATAGAACAAGTAAATTCAGATGGCCAAACAAAAGGAGAAATGGGAGAGGGGCTGGGATGCACAGAGTAGTCAAATTCAAGTTTTCCCACCTCCAGGTATTTATTTGCACAATTCAGGAGTATGAATCTTTATCTCTTACCTCCAAGGAGAGTGAATTGCTGTGAAACAATTGTCTATTCCGGGAGGTATTCACACTTTTTTAAGGAAAAAAGAAAGAAAAAGAAATCAAGAGCTAACTCTTCTATCCCAGTACAGAGTGCACACAGATACACAGATCCCAGCATGTACAAATATATTTCTTGTCTTCTGACCAGTCGAAGTAATTCTGAGTAGTATGATTAACTATTTCTAAAATATACATAGTAATAATACTCTGTAGGTCACACTCATGTATTCTGCTGAAAGTAAACCTGTTCTATTGACACACGGATTGTGCTAGAAAGACAGCCTGACAGCATCCACTTATTTGTAACATGACTATTCCCATTATTTT